ATAATCATTATTTTTCTAAGAACTTTGAAATTTTAATCTAACTGTGAAATTTTTAGAAGATAAATTGACGAACGTACGTTTGTTTTCGATAAATTCTCGCCAGGCCTTTAACTGCGAAAAGGGAATTGCCTGCTTTTTGAGAAATATCTCCGGCGACCCTTTATCTTTAGGCACAGCTTCTTAGAATTCCCGTCTACGCAGCTCTCTTTTTGGCTCAGCGGGATATTGTAGTCCATTTTTTAATTCAGGCCCTCCAAACAGATAATGGCTAATGGTCTTGGCCCTTTTGCCTACCTGCAGCGTCCTGACTCATTTGCGAGGGACATAGCTCTTAAGAGGATCCATCAACAGGCACTCTATGGGTTGTGATGTAATTTCAATGTATTATTATATTTGCCATCACTATCACACTGTAATTCTTGATGGATACAGCAACCAGCACTTACAGTTACACTCATAACGTGAAACAATTGTTAAAAGGGTGTCTATGGTATTTGAAAAACTATCGTCATGTTTGCTTCGAATATTTGTATCTGGCAGGTGCTCAGTTTGACAGTCCTGTTCCAGAAAAGGAACCTAAATGTTATCCAATACTTATTAATGCAAATTTTAAATTCTGTTAGCTTCCGTTACGCAAGAAACTACGCGGGGAACACTTAAACACTTATTAATTGACTGAACCCCTGATGTGTGCACCTGTGTTGAAAGTATCTGCTTGCAATCGTTCACACGTCATCCGCAGCAAATTCCATTGGCCTTGCTCGGATTCCAGGAGGATATTTTACTTAAGGATTATAGTCTACTGTTAATATTTCAGTACAACTTTATCAGGCATATTATAGGCCATCCGTAGTAAAGTAGATGTGCCATCTCTTGAAATTTTAATCGAAATTCAAAGTAAATTTTAAATTCAAAAAGGTAAGTAAGATCGTAAAATGATCAACGTACAACATATCACCAAGTTGTTCCAGTCACTTCAGGATACTTGCTTTTAAGGGAGCTTCTATCCGGCCGTCTGGGAAAAATTGGTATAAAAATGATTGCATATGTATTGTAAAGTTCCCCTATTTATGTCCGATACCCTTATCGGTTCAAGTATATTTTATAGGAAACGTACACGAAAACGTTCTTTCTTGTACTCACTTCGTAGCAAATCACATGTTCTTCAAAGTGTCTTGAGGTTTTAGAAGACATTTCCAATTCCTTAATGATTTTGAACTCAACCTGCAATCGCATTTGCTCCCAGGGTTTCAAAACCGTATACTACACTCATTCTAAGGAAAATTGCATATTTCTTTGTATCTCACAGGGAAGGAAGATATAATATGCTGTCCATAAAACTTTGCAACGGGTGTGAACCATGTTGCATACCTGATAAGCAACATTTGTAGGCGCACGTATAAGGTGCCTCATAATGTTAGACCCCTTTACTTAAATAGCGGAAGGATATCCTTTGCTAGAGAGCAACATTTAAAGAAGACGCAATTTCCTACCAAATGAGTACATGCATGCATGTATGTTTTCCACGACACATGTTTGAATTTTAGTAGTGGGTAACTGTACACCGATCTGTTTAAGGATGCACCCATCCCAGTTGATGCCTTGTTTGCGAGCTAATTGAAATCCCAAGGCGGTAAAAATATCAATGTGTGAGTCTATAAGGGTATCGCAAATCAATAAGAAAAATTATCACTAATTGAATAGGCAATTTTTACATAGTGTAAGGTTCATAGGCGACCGAAAGAAAGCTCGTTCAAAAGTTAGCATCCTGAACTAACTGAAATATTTTGAGATTTTGCTGTACGAAAATAAATTTTACAATCTTAAGTAATCTTTGAGAAGAAGGCGACTCAATCGCCTGACGTTTCGAGATCCGTCGCCGATTCGTCATCAGAGACATAGTAAAAGAGCAGTAGCAGAAACCGTTTCTGCTAAGTAATCTTTGCCAATAGTGGAGAATATGCGAGTTCCAGGAAGCAGTTCAGAAGAAGAGGATGCGATTACTGGAACTCCAGTGATCGTATTCTTTTCTTCTAAGGAATCTTTCTACATGGAAAACACATTTCAGAATTTCAGGTGACAGTGTGTCAGATAGTATGCTTTCTGACAAGTTTTATGACCAGCCTACTGCAACGTGCCGGTGAGCTTATCTGCAAGATTATAAGTCGCGACTACTTAATAAAAAAGGCCTTTATACACTCTCCGAGGGTTTTATCCTGATTATTCTTTTTTCAGACTTTGCCATCCTGGACCCTGTCCACCTTGCGTTTCTACGGTTGATATGTCCTGCCCTTGCGGTCGAGTGGTTCGACGAGCGCGGTGCGGTGAACGCCCACCGAGCCCCTGTGGTGCGCGATGCACTCACGTATACAGGACCCCGCTGGGTAGTGGGCCAAAAAAATGCGCTTTCGGCGGTCACCCATGTCCAGAACTCTGTCATTACGGCGACTGTCCGCCCTGCCCGCAACTTATAAAAGCAGGTAAGTCCGTTTGATGACTTGTACTTTCGGTAGGACTGTCTCTAGACGTTCTACTCGCTTTTGACTTATAAAAGCAACCTACTTTTACATTATGTAGTAGCTCCATATTCCTTTTTTATTTAAATTCCGCCAATATAAGGGCGATTTTCCCCCTTTTTTTCGTTAAATTCAGCCAATATGAGGTCAACTTTCCATCACTTGCCTGAGCATCAAGAGTCTGTGTTGTTAAAGTTGATACTATTTAGCTCATTAAAACAGCTATATGTGGCTTTGATTTAATATACTTTGGCCACTTTCGACACGATTACATATTAATTTACACTATTTTACCGAAGATTCAACCAATTCCGTAAGAAAGTCGGGCGGGAGGAAAATATTTAGGCGGCCCTACAAGACAGACTTATCGTACCTTCTAACACCATGCTTATTGTTTTTGATCAGGCCATGCAGATTCCTACCTTCTTGATAGCTGTGCACTCTCACAGCATGACTGACCATAACTTACGATGTGACCCAACTTTTTATTTCTTAAATTATTTTTTAAACACACATTCAGTACTTGCTTTTTTAGGTTGCTT